TATGACGATGAAATCGATGAAAGATTACCTATAGAACCAACATTACTTGAAAATGTTTTACGTTTAAATGAAACACCTTTACCACAAACGAATGATAATATAACAGCTACATGTCTATCGTATTCAAATGATATACAAAAACCTAAACAAGAACAAGAACAACAAATACGAGAACAAACATCAAGTATAATAACTAAAAAACCATCAATACACAATGATAAACAATCTCAATCACCATTATTACCTGCTCGACGTATACATAATAAACAAGTGTCTCCACGTCGTTCAACAACCAATACGTATGTATTACCTCAGACAACAAATCTTTCACGTAATCATAAAACAGTAAGAAGAAATTCATCACGATATTATTTACAACGTGAAACAACATCAACAAGTACAAATTTAAATACTCAATTAATAAACGAATCAACGTCATCACCCAATAGTTCATTTCATAGTAATGAGGAAAATCATAATCATCAACGACATTTGGCATCACCTAATTTGAGTCAAACATCAATAACGAATAGTCTTGTACCACGTGCATATGAAGTAAAAAAATTATTTGTTGATGATTATGATTACGGTCGTTTAACTGATGTTTCAACAGTAAAAACAATACCAGCACGTAATCGACAAAAATGGGGTACTATTGTTCATCCACCATTTCCATTAGGATATCAACAAGTAACTCCTGAAAAAGTAACACAATCAGTTCAACGTCTTACAAGTCCTGTCCGATGTCGTGATAGACATACACCTATACAAACACCATCAAAACGTTATTTATCTGTTGAAGAAACGGATGCTTTGGTAAAAACAAAAGAAAAAAAAAATTTTCTTTTTCTTTAAATTATTTCTTTTTTTTCCTTTTAAGATAAATCGATTAACTAAAGTAAAACCAATTCGATCAACAGAACAATATTGGCCAGTACAACGTCAATCACGACCTGTTAAAAGTTTCAGTAATGCTTTAAAAACAAGTAATAATTGGAAAGGAGTTGGTATATCAGCATGAAAGATTTTCTTCATGGTTTTTTTTTTTCTTTTATTGAACTTCAGGGTTTCCTGTGTGTGCGTGTGTGTGTGTGCATTTTTTTTTTCAAAAACATATTTTTCATTATAATTAAACTAAAACCAAATGAAGCATTTTTGTGGCTTTAAAATTCAATCACAAGAAAAAAGAAAGGATATTATGACTTTACTTTTTTTTTTTTCGTTTTCACTTTTTTTTATTGAAACAAACACAATAACAAAAAAAAGAGAAAAATGATATAGATAACTGATGGATGTGTTTGCTTGTGTTTTTTATTTTTCTATAAATTTGTTATTGTTTTTCATGAACAGCTTGTGCCATAAATAGTTTCGCTAAACCTTGTGCTGTAAATTCTGTAATATTATCACATTGATGATTTATTTGTGATGCGTTTATTAATGCATTACGTCGTGATTGTGCAAACATTTTAGTCATACGTTCAAAATCTTCATCATAACCATCATTACGACGATTTGAATCACGTTGATTACGACGACTTTGTTGACGTTGAAGTTGTTTTTGATAACTTGTATAACGTAATGCATCAGCAGCAAATTCATCAACACAATCAATTAATGAACGGAGTTGTCGTTCAAGATTTCCACTAGAAAGACAAAAGAAAAACTGATTAATTTTAAGAAAGATTTTAAAAAAAAGAGCTCATCTTACTTTGTGCCTAAATCAAGAAATGTATTTGATTTTGAACTAAGTCTTGTTTGTTCATCAATTTCACATAAGAGTGCATTGACTAAATGAGAATTTCTAAAGACAACTGGTAATTCTTCTAATAAACTTTCAAAATTAAGATTTGCTTGTTTTGCGCTGAAATAAATCAAAAGAAAAAAGATCATTAGTAAAGTGTTTCAAATAATTTCTCTGAATAGGTTCTTTCCCAGGTCATGAAAGATTTTAATACTAACTATCGTAGCGGAAATAATTTGTCTCGTTCAAAGAAGTATGAATAATTATTTTTCTTACTTAAAAAAAACTTCCTTTACTTGAATAAGTGTTATAAGTAGGAACAGAACTGTCAATAAAATGTTTCTCAACTATAGTGTGTCACATTAACTTAATCATTGTTTTGTTTTTACTCTTTGAAAAAGTAAAATTTTCAGAACATTTCCACATAGTAAATATTTGTTTATTTGTGCTTAATTAGACATTGTTTTTAAATGATCTCAAACAATAGTTTGCAATATCGGAAAAGAATTTCTTTAAGTTTATTACAATTCATACATTAAAATATTGAAATTTTATTCTGTTATTTGATTGACGAGAGAATCCTTCAAGCTGCCATCCTTCGATTTCAATGATTTTTTTTTCTTGTGTATAGATATTATATAGGCACTAGTAAAAATCCTTGAAAGAGTTAGATTTCTATGTCTTTCTTCAAAATTTATGAATATTTTTATTTTTCCTGTATACAGGATGTTCTGTAAGTTATTAGCCAAAGAAAACTTTTAATATCTCAGCCGTACTTTGACCAAATGAGCTGATTTTTTTATTGCTGATAGAAGACTATTTCTAGTCCATATTCATAAGAATAATGTTGACAGAAACTATTTCGAAGTATACTTTTCGAAATTAATAAAAAAGAACTGTCCTCTTATGGATTTCGAAAAACATTATTTTTGTGTAGGACAATTTTAAGTTGTAAAACATCTTACTCTACCTGGCATGAGTTTAACCGAAAATATGCCTCTTGACTGTACAAAGAATTAGTCTACTTTGATTAGAATATGTTAAACTTATTCAAATTTATTCTTCGTGGTAACTTTTAGAACACACACACAGTAAATACGATTTTTTCAGAATTTGAATAAGATGATATTTCTTTATTGAAGTCAATAATGATACTGCGGAACAGTTTTTGTTAACCTTATTCTTATGAGTATGGACTAGAAACAGTCTTCTATCAGTGGTGAAAAAGTCAATTCATTTGGTCAAAGCACAGTTGAGATATTCAAAATTGTTTTTGGTTAATGACTTATGGAACACCCATGGTACATAACGTACATTATTTTTAAAAAAATCCAACAATCAATAAAATGCAAACGAAAAAGTCAGAACATTGTTTTTATGATGTTGTTTAATATCTATTATATTGACAGAAATTTTAATCAGTTGGCCATAGAACGACCGAAAGAAAAAATATTGAACAAAAAAAAAAGATGTTTTCAGAGTGAGTGTGGATGCAGGTGAAGATAAAACTGGCACCGACCCAATCATACTATAAAAAGAGTACAAAATAATAAACCCTACGAAAAAGGTTTATTAGCCTCATCAAACTTTTATAAACTCTTTTAGGGTTAATGATTCTATGGGTTTTGTTTTACAGTGGACTCCGCACCCAATGCTCCTTATGCCAAAAAACAATGTCTTGTTAGTTGAAACTTTCAATATTTTTCCTTTCGGCTTTTCTCATTGCTTCATATAAAAATATCTATTTGAACTATCTTATTATTACAGGGTGAAGTTCCTGTTCAATGGTGCTCTAGATATTTTCTATATGTGATAAATATTCATGATCTTTTCCCTTTCTTTTACTATGCATTATCATCTATTGTTCGTGTACTGCCAACTTTTCCATTCAGAAAATAAAATTCTATAATTGGACAAAGAAAACAACTAAAAGATTAAAGTTCCTGTCAATATAATAGATATCAAATAATACCGACAAAACAGTTTTCTATCTTTTTATTTTCCATCATCCACTATAGGGATAAAGTAAACCATATTCTTAACTTTCGTCAAAAAATCTAGGAATACAAATCCTTTAAAGGTTTATACTAGTATATCTATAAAGCACAAAAAAATCATTGAAAATGGGGGAAAAAAGGCACACCTGTTGAGTTTCCCTTGTAAAACAGGACAACTGATTAGTGAAAACATTAATTAAAATTTTTTTCAAATAAAAAATTCATTAGTTATAATTTTTAGTTCTGTCAAATTAACATCAACTGAGCAAAAAGTATCATTTTAATATTTTACTTGTCTGGTGAAAAATATTCTTCATTCTTTAAATTTTCAAGTGCAGCAAGTGTTAAACGATAAGCTTTTAAACTAATATAACCTTGTAAAGCCAATGCTTGATCTAAACGAATAAATTTAAAAAAAAAACATTTCTCTTTTAAGATTGAGTCATAAATAATTAACCATAAACAAGTGCAATAGATTCTTCAACACCAGACAATTGATAAGGTACCATTGATTGTGCAAGTGATCGATTAAAACTGCTATCATAAAATCCAACTTGTAAATAATCCGAATTGACGCGACGTAAATTTCTAATTATTTCCGATTGATATAGTTCAAAATCTAGATGAAGATTTTTTCATATAAAATCATTCTATGTCAAAATTTTAAATATTACCCAGATCAAGATTTTCTGGTTTATTTTGATTCGGAAATGGAAAACAATTTGTTATTTCAAGTGTTGAGTCCTTAACCAAACCAAGAAGACCACCTTGTGCAGCATCAGTTGTTTCTTCATGAGCATGTTTTATTATTTTTAATATAACCTAGTCGATATTAAATTAAATGTTTTATGTAAGAAAATAAAAAAAGAATTCTTTTTCTTTATATACCATAGCATCAACATAAACATCTTTGATTGAATTTGATGTTGATGCCGTTGAAGAAGAGCCAACTTTTGATGAATAATTCATTGGAGAGCTGTTCGATGCCATTGTTATTAGTTCTTATTTTTAATAGAAAATAAAATCTAGAAAATAAAATAAACTCAAATTAAGTAATAACAACAACGCTTACTCTTTTGACGAATAGAGGCAAACAAATAATTATTCAAGTTTTCTTATTCTTTTGCTTCTAGCGACACAATCAATTCAATTCATATATAAACAATAGCGCTGTGAAACAAGGAAAAAAAAAGAACCATTGATTTGTGGTGTTTTAAAATTAAAGAAGAAATTGTATCTATTTATTTCTGTCGGAAAATAAAATGAGTACAAAGCGTATGCGTGGTCGATTTTCTCGACGCCAACATCATGTCAATTATAGTAGTAATCGTCATCGACCTGTCAAAAGGACAATTCGAGAACCACCTACTGAAGTATAAAATAAAATAAAATTAAACGATTAAAAAATATTAAATACGCCTAATTTTATTTGTTCAGATTAAATCAGATCTTATTCAACAATTTAATACTTGGTGTATGAGTTTACGAACTGTGGCAACATATGAATTTGATAATGATGAAGAAAATAATCATCGATGCAAAGTTGATTAAACAATATACATTTTTTTTCTACGTTCAATTTTTTTAATAGATGATATTACCCATATTTCCTAATTTACAATCAATTGGCAATGGAGCAAATACAAAGAAAGAAGCAAAAGCAAATGCTATTATTGCTTTTCTTGCTCATATGGAAAAACGAAAGCAAGTTGGATTATTTGTACCATATATGGTAATGATTGATCATTCATATAGAAAATTATTTTTTATCATCCTATTAAAACACATTAAAAATGTGTTATCTTATATATTTCTTTCGTTACTTTATTTGATTCTCTTTTCAACAGATGGGTATTAAGCAGATTCTACAACAGAAGTTTTGATCATAAGTCTTCCCTTGTTTTCGTTGAATTATTTTATTTAGATTGAATTTTCGAATTCTTCACTAGTTTCTAGATCTATATCAGAGTCATATATATATATATATGTTAGCGTCCAATGTAGAATTCATCGGATCTGGTTAACAGAAAAATTTCAGACTTGAACTGAACTAAATTCGGAATCAACCCGACATGTTCTTACCTGATATCAGATCAGAAAACAATAGCATTTCAGATAATAAAATCATCGATAGTGAAATTAAAGTAGGATTTGTGAAGTTATGAATAAATTTCTAAAGAAGAACAACTTGTATGGAAGATTGTTCATAAGTGTTTGTATTCATTGAGTTCATACAGCTGAGAAATTCAAACTTTCAAACGACAGGCAATATCTAATGATATATAAGATGTCGGTTATTCGTCCTAGTCAGAAAAGCCTATAAAAATGGAAATACATCACAAACAACAAGTCTCGGTAGTTCTATTGAAATGAATATGATATTGAGAATCAGTGCATCGAATACTGTACTCAATACTCTAATCTGATTTACATGAAACTTTGGTTTGTACACCTTCTCAGTGTTATATTCGAATACTCTGACATGTGCTTCCCTTAGGTCGAAGTTTCCGCTGATTCTGTATTTGATAAGTGTTTCTTTTGAAACTGAAGTTCTGAGAAGAGTCAAAACTTTAGAACATAAATTCATATTTATAGCTTTTTGATGTCATATCGAAAAAAATTAAACAATAGTTTTCAAATAGTACGCGTAAGAAGTGAACAAAATATTGAAGCTACTGCGACTTGATGCTCGCGACGTATTTCAGGCTTTATATATAGACTTTTAGGATCTTTAAAATCTAAGTTTCACTTCGCAAACGTCGTCAGAATATGTCTGAAACAAAAGTTTTACTCAAATTTCGAATTTTCAATAACTTATAAATAATGATGCAGTTAGTTGTGTATATTTTCAGAAAAGAAGAATTCAAGATAATAGAAATTTAACATTGACATGTTTATAATTACACTAATATTGAATATGCTTTGAAGTATTTGTTTTAAACTGTTTAGTTTCCAAATCTACTTCGTAATGTACAAGTTGAATTACGTCGAGCAAATGTTTCAACACCAGGTTGATTACTTCTCTACATTTTAATTTATCTATAAATATTTTATTTTAATTTAGATTTAAATTTAAATATAAACGAATATCTATTAGCTGATCGAATGATATCAACACGTCTAGCAAAAAAATATGATGGTATTATAAAAATTATTCAACGAATTTGCAATGTTCGTGTAATAAGATGTAAGTTTAAATTGACAAGAATTATTTCTTTGAATAAAATTTTATTTCGTCAGTATGGCAATCGTCAAATATTACATTTGTTTATATAGTTGGACCTAAAGCAAAAGCAGAATTAATTCGAGTAAAAAAACAAACAAACAAAGAATTGAATTTAAAAAATAATTTTTTTTTTTTTGGTTTCTATTAGCCATATGTAAAAGCTTTGTTTCAACCAGATAATGAACAAATGTTTAATTATGGAGAAAAGTTATTTGAAATATTTAGTGATGAAACATTTCTTGATGATGTGTGTCAACGACTTAAAGTTTTATGTAATAATCATCTAGAAAAATGTAAATTATTTATTCGTGGAAGGTACAAAAAATAAAGTTGAAAGGACGAGAACGGATAAGCTCATGTGTCTTCTCCACAATAAACTTAACTTGTTTTTAATCGTTTTGTCGTAAGACATGATGTCTCAAGATATTTCACATGTTAGTTTTTAAAAAGCTGATCAAAAGATTTTTAAAGATTGATGTATTCGACGGAGATCGATGGAAAACCTTTTATCTTTAATTCTATTGAAACGTATGTTCTTCGGTGAAATCATGTGTACTAATTACAAATATCAATATATTGAATCTTTAATACATCTTCGTGAGCAAGAAAAACAATCCTTTCACATCAAATATCCTATTTCAAAAACTTTCAAACTTCTTTGTGCTATTGAGATAACTACTTTCTAGCCATCTGTATTCCTTTCGATCGGATTATTTCATCTATACTATCCATCAGAGAAATGTATGCCTTGATATGACATATCGAAAACATTTGACGTGTTAGGGAGTTGCGTACAAAGACTATTTGATATACTGAACATTCCAGTAAAACCTTGACGCATCACTTATTCTGAATTTTTGAGTCTACTGTCGGATAGAGTATTGAAAATGACATAAACAGTATACGTTTCACATTTTTTCGAGTCTTCTAAAATGACAACTTCGAACTGATAATCTGAACTTTTATATTCGCTCATATTCCTAAGAAACATTTATACTTCACATGCAAGTAAACTATGTTGTTTCGACTATTACGAATCATCTTTTATGACGTTGGAATAATAAAAAAAGAGAAGATGTGTGATCATAAAACTGCATATAAAGCCCAAAGAATAGCTGAAAAAGGATTGTTCTTCTTGTTTAATAAAAAGCTTTAAGTATTCAGTATACTGATGTTCATAATTAGTATACTTGAATTTATTAAACATAAAAATTTTTCCATGGACTCCTATGAAGAATCTCAAACTTCAAAAAGCCTTTTGATCAACTCTATAAAAGCTAGCACGTAGAATATTATCAGGTATCATTTGTTACTACAAAATAATAAATACAAAGTTAGTTTTGTTGTTAAGCACGAAAATGATTTTATCTGCCCTCATCCTTTATGAAGTTGATCGTTATGTGTTTTTTTCCTTTTTTTTTCTAGTTCAGTAAATGTACAGTGTTGTTATAATGAATTTGTTGGACTTCGTCGTGAATTTGAAAATGAATTTCATCGAAATCAAAACCATGCATTTACAAAACCAATAGAATCGTCAAAACCAATAGAACCTTTCAATCCAATTGATTTCAAAAATTCTATTGAACAATTAGAATCAACACGTATTGATAATGATGATAAAGAAGAAAAAGATAATGATCAATTACCAGATTATTCAATTTATGATGATAATGTTAATGCATCAATATTAAGAGTATTAAGAAATGAAGAGGATGTAGAAGAAGAAACATTAAATCAAGATGTAATTTAAAATTTTTCTTTTCAAGTCAAAATCTTTTACAATGATTTCATTTAGGTAACAACAAAAAATTCTCCGATCGTCATTGAAGTTTCGGATGATTCATCGGATAGTACTGATTTACAAATTGTTCAAACTATTGAACCAAAAATTCAAAAGAAAACTGATCAAATACAACCAATTGTTCAGTATGATATTGTTCTTTTTATTCTATTAGTCTTTAATAGTCTATTCTAGACCTCAAAATCTGTTTCAACCATTTATAACACGATCTGAACCAATGTCTGAGTATGTTTTTTGTTTATCTCTTATTTCGAAAGCTGGATAATTCCGCCATAGGGCGGATCCTTACCGAAGAAATTTTTGAGGAAAAAGAAAACAAAATCAATACCAAAAACATTAAAATAATATTTATGTGATGGGCATTTGCCCTTGTGCACAACTGTCCTAGAATCGTTATTGCATTGTTTTTTTAGATTTCAAATTACATCTCAACCACCTGTACAACAACCATTACGTCAACCGAGAATTCTCCGTCATATAGTTCTGGATGGACAAAATATTGCCAGAAAGTAAGCACAAATAGTTATATCTACTTGATATTATTGAGAAACATATATGTAGAGTTCACACATTCATGTTTGATTTGTATCAATTATAAATAATGGTGAGATATCATGTCCATCGAATAGAATTATAAGGATATTTGACTTTATTTATTTCATTATGCTTGCCTGTTTTTTTGTTGTTGTTGTTCATGGACAGTCTTTTTTGAATTCCTATACGTGAATCTTTTGACTCTCAGATATTGGCAATCCTTGGCCTGTCTAAGATGGAGCTTGAAGGTCAATATAGATTTTCAGTTCGAGCCAGGATATTTCAACATTCAAAAGAGATTTCACGGTGTTTGACCCCTTGTTCAAGAGGTTAGTATTGTCTCTATCATCAATAAGAATTGCATGCCAAACAATTGTCGTTTGCTTGCCTTATGAAACTACCTTTGAATATTCTTAGCATGTGAGTTTATGTTATCCACCAAAAAAAGAAGTAACCAGTTAATTCTGATTATTTTCTTTAGTGAATTGTCTACTCTAGTCACGTCTTCCATGACAATTTTTTGATTATAGCTGTCGACGAAACGGAAATCTGTGCGAAGGTCGCCCTAGATAATGAGAAAACGTCACTATGCCTCAGGATAACAGCAGATTGAAGTTTCCTTTCTGTAACACAATGGAGACATATCGTGTTTTATTTGTTAATAAAAAGGTGTATATCGAAAACTTAAAAGTATGACAAAAAACGAAATCTATCAAAAAATTGACTTAGAAAAAGCCTTTGTTAACGATTTTTGTTATATTTTTAAGTTCTAAAATGAAAGTCATATAACATGCAGCGACTCCTTATTTCGTTCTCTTTAAAATGTCGCCATCAAAAACATAGCTTCTGAAAACTACAGTATCTAAGTTTTTAGAAATCTTACTATCATACTTCCTTTAGTATAGAATGTATTAGATAGAAAACTCCATTGACTATTAAAGCCACTATCAACATTTGAGTTTGGTATTTAATATTATAGAGAAAAAAAGATGAAAGCACGGTGTTGTGAAACTTTTTTCTATTACTATACGTACCGAGCTCGAACTAGAGTGAATATTTTATAAAAAACATTAAAACAAATTTTAAAATATTTCTCATATAATTTTTTATTTTTTTGTAGTTCGAATGACTACAGTCGTGTATTTTCCTGGTCTCGTTTGTCAAATACAATCAATTATTTCAAAAATCGTGGTCATGAAAATATTATTGCATTTCTTCCTCTGTGTATGTGTCTTTAAGTTTTTTTCTAATAAGCAATCAATTATTTATATAGATCTTCGAGATTATTCAAATAAACAATTATCAGTATATGACATGAATCGCGAACGACAAATTCGTGATTCTTTAATTAATTCACGTTATATTGCATTTACTCCATCACGATATAATAATGGAAAACGTCTAACAAATTATGATGATCGGTATTATTTAAATATAGAACTGACCAAAATTTATAGAACCACTTATTCGCATAGAACTGTGCGATAAGTTTCGACCATTTCAAATTCTCTTAAACAAGAAAACAAAATATATGTGGAGACATATTTTTGGATGTGTTCCTCTATCAGGCTTTGGGAAACAAATGGTTGTCAAAAACTGTTTATTTTTACTTGACCAAAATTATAGTATTGATATCGTATTTTTCTCATATTTTTGAAAATGCGACATCAGTTTGGCTCAAGAGTGACATTGACATATAAAGAACTTGTTTGTTTATCTGAAAAATACCATTTAAGCTTTATATTCCTGTTAGGGTTAATATAGTCAAAGCGAAGCTACTTCTTGACAAGCGAATTTGAATAAGAAACACATTTTTCTTCAAAACAAAATATCGGACAGCTTCGTGTCTCATTTCGTTGGAAAAATAGCTATCGTATCATGATATACAGTACCCAAGATGATTCATAGCATTGTCAAAGCACTTTTTATCTGTTCTTGAATATTATGTTTAAAATGCTTCGTCTTAAATGATACAGTTTGCAGAAACATCCACTAGGCAATAGTTATCTCACTTATTTTCAAGGCAAAACATGTTTTTTCTTTGAATCCGTTCTTCAAAATGTGATCGGGGAAGCTGCAAAGGAAGCTATACCATTAGAAGCAGCTTCGTCTTTATTCTAATAATAGTAGTGGAAGTACACATTTGGAATAGTATTTTCCAAACATTTTGCTGAAGTACCGAAGTTCAATTATAAAATCAAGCATAAATCACTTGTAAAAGTACTTTTCATGAAAATGTTCAAAAACTAGATTCTCTACATGTCAATGTCACATTCAAAATACCATGAGAAAAATGTGATATCGATTCTATAATTTTGACCAAGTAACCCTCGACAGATCTTGACGATCGTCTGTTTCCTAAGGTCTAACAGAGCACATCCTATATATTAAATATCTTCACATATTGTTTTTACTTGAGTAAGACTATTGAAATTTGTCGAAACTTATCGCAGAACTCAATTCGAATAAGTGTTTCTAAAAATTCTGACCAGCATTGTATTTATAAGATGAATAAAAAAAACTTTTATTTGTTTTATTAAGATTTATTTTGCAATATGCAGCTGATAATGATGGAGTTGTTGTTAGTAATGATAATTTTCGTGATCTTCAACATGAAAAAAGTTTTAAATTTATTATTAATAATCGGTTTGAACTTTTCTTCGGTTTTTTTGCCAAAATAAAAATGTTTCTCTTTAGAATTTTACCATTTGCAACTATAAATGATACATTTATGCCTGCAACAGATCCACTTGGTCGAAATGGACCTAATCTAGATGACTTTCTATCAAAACCATATCTGTAAAATTAAACAATCGTTTCTAAAAGAAATCAAAGAAAGAAAAGAAAGAAAACACAAGATTATGTATATTTTGTTTTTTTTTTGGTTGTCTTGATAAATAATTTTGTTTTCTTCTTTCTTGTTACTTCGTTTATTTACGTACATTTATTTTTTATATTGATTAAAGAAACAACATTAGAGATAATTCGTTTAAAGAAAATTCATTATTCCTTCTTTTAGACAAATCTCAATGTCTGATACAGTAAAATGGGAAATAGCTGATAGACTTCGTCAACGTGCACGTGATGATTTATTTACTTTATTACAAAGTATTGATGGTACAAAAGATTTATTTATTGATGCCGATTTATTTCCTTTAATTGATTTAACATCAAATGCAACAGAAATACGACAGTATGGTGTTGTAAATTTACATAAACTTGATTCATCACAAAATATTCAAACAAAAAATAAAGGTTTATTTTTATTACGACCAAATATGGTTAGATTTTTAACATTAGCTAAACAATTACGTCAATTAGATATTCAAAATGCACATTTAATATGTGTACCAAGAAAATTTTATGCATTTGAACATTTACTTGAACAAGAAGGTCTTTGGGGACGATGTGCCTTACATGAATTAACAGCCTTTGATATGGTTCCTGTTGATTATGATATTTTTTCAATGGTTAATTCTCATTTGTATTTAAATGTTTATTTGGATCATTCAACAGATTGGTTATCAACAATAGCAGCTTCATTAATTGATTTTCAACAATTATTTGGAAGATTTGCAAATACAATTTCTTTTGGAAAACTAGCTGGACAAGTTGCAAGACAATTAGAAAGAGGACAAAGGTAGAATATATTAAATTAAGGAGACTCCCAACATTTTTTGTGACTATAACATAGTTTGAAGTGTTAACTGTCTATTGACGACAGAAATTTGCTAAGTAATAAATCCCTTTTAAGTTACATTTTATATTCAATCAATAGAATCTAGTCAGTAGGTAAATATCCTAGAAAGATTCGAGCTGTTGGTATTGAGATTTAAAATATTTAATAGATTTTTTCTGTAGAGGCCTAGTTTTCGAACAAAATTAATACTTTTCAGAGCAACAACAAAAATATTTACTTTGATTTTTGATCACCAAAATACACAGGAATTTAGCAACTACTGTGCTAGTTAGACAAGACACTCATGCCATCGTTCTCAACACGTATTAAGTATCACTGATGTCAGTACATTATGTGCAAAAATTGTAAGAAAATCAAATCAAATACAGAAGTAATATCTACGTTTTGCTATCATTTATCCTGCTAAGTGACAGATCAGAATAAAAATTTCATCATAATCTTGTCCGCTGCTCAATTCTGACTTGCATTAGGAAATCTTTCAAATCAAGCCTTAAATTCCAATACTGTTTTTTTTTTCGAAAATTGAGATATAAAAATATGTTCTCTAAAACATATAAATGATATTTGACTCTCTAATTCGATCTCTTTATGCAAATATTTTAGTTCAATCGATAATCAAGATATGATACCAAGTGGACGATACATTCAAACTGTAATATTATTTGATCGTAGTGTTGATTTAATAACACCATTTTGCTCCCAAATGTGTTATGAAGGTTTACTTGATGAATATTTTAATATTGAAGGTGGTCGTATGAAAATTCCTAAAAATGGAAATACAGATAATGCTAGTAAACAATACGAACATATATCATTATCAACAAGAGATGATATGGTTATTGAAGGTATACGTGCAATGCATTTTACAAAAGTTTTTCAAGAAATTAAAGGTAATTTCTTGTGATTTTAATTAAAATTTTTGTTTATTTTATTTTATTTTTCGTTTTTTTTAGCTTATTTAGCAAGACAGAATGTTTTACAAAATGATGTTCGTGATAAAATGCAAGATGCATCAATAAGTGATTTAAAACAACTTGTTCATACTGATGTTAAAGGACATATAAATGCAAAAAAACAAATAACACGTCATTTAGATTTATGTACTGATATATATGAAAAGAAAAAAGCAAGTGATTTTAAAATTCAACTTGAAATGGAAACAGATATATTACATTTACATAATTTTGAAGATATTGTTTCATATATACATACAATGATATGTCGTTGTGAACCAAATAAATATCGTCCATTACAATTACTTTGTCTTTTATCAACAGCAAATAATGGTTTAACACGTGAATATTATGAATTATTATGTCGATCATACCTTCAAGCATATGGTTATGAAAATATTCCACTTTTATATAAATTAGAAAAATTAAATTTATTTCATGCCAAAAGATCATGTGATGTACCAATAGCAATCAATACAAATACACCAGCCGGTTTTCGTGGTGATGCTATATTAAAAATGGGAAAACAAGTTGCACAAAATCTTACAGAGAAAACACAAACACAAAAAACATTTTTTCACTATATTGCAAAACGACTCAATTTAACACCTGATCTTAATCAACAAGCTAGAACAACACCAGGTCCAGATATGGTATGCTAAAATTCAAACGTTTAGATAAAAAGAATTATTTATTTGTTTTCAACAGAATGAAAAAAATTAATATTTCAATTCGTTCAATCATGAAAGAATTGTATTTTTTTTCATTGCTGTATTTTTCGATATTTCAATGAAATGAAGTTAGACTTTCAGACTATATCTAACGCGAAAAGCTATCTAACTAATTAACCCCTTGGCGACGGGACTACTTTCGAAACAAATAAAATTTTTCAAGACTATGAGTTAATATATTCATTTCGAAAAGAATAGATGAGAACATCATATAGATAGTAGCATCACTGCACATCGGCAGTGTCATATCTATGGACTTACACTGGCATGTAAGTTAACATTGCTGTATAAAACATCTACAAATATTCATGACGAGCGGATTCAAAACCGGACGTATTATACGTCTCCTGTCCCCAAGGGGTTAATTATTATTTTAGTTCGGACTATGTTCATCATGTAGATCCAAATGAGTTTTAACTATTCTGAAATTGAAACAGCTTTTCTCGGTACTCGATCAGGCTCAGACCGATGCTCATCAATGTCCGGCATGTACTTTCATAGTTATAGTATGGTTTATAAAGTTTTATTTTATACGCAAAACTATACTATTTAGTTTCTTTCATAAACAACAACAAAAAAAAAGAGATCATCTTGAACGCTACAAAACAGCAAGCAATTCAGGATTTATTTGGTATCTTTCTGCTTCTATAATCCTATTGATTTCGCTAAGTATACAGTTGCTTGCTGCTGATAACGCTGAAATGAAACTCAGTGTTGACGCTAAACGGCAGAGTTGTCGATATATACATGAATGCTTTCTTCATCATGATAATAAATGTTCACCTTTGTCACTATTCATTTTCCTCTCCATGTATTCAATTACTTCGTCATATGGCTCCTCATCATTTGTAAATGAATTTTCATTAAAAACGAATTATTTTAATTAAACAATATTGCTTTTCATTTCTATGACTTTTTGTCAAGTACGATAAACTGCACAAGCATGATCGAACTGGTTTTTATTCCTATACTTTTATATAAACAACAATTTGAAAATGAAACAATGTTTACGTTCTTTTTGAGTGACAGTTGAAGTGAAATCGAAATTTTGATTGATACTCACTAAATGCAGTAGGTAGTTTAAGCTATTGAGAGAATTTATGACCATTAAGGTTTCGTACGAAGCGAAATAATAAAAAAGAAAAACTGCTGCTAATACAAATGTAATATAATTCCTTCTCTGGTAATCATCAAATGATTTTATCAGAAGAATAAAAAAATAAAGAAAAGATAAAATTAGTTATACAACATGTAGAATATAAATATTGAGAGAAAAAACTTTTTAATCCTCTGATCATCTCTATAATGGTTTCAACTTTAATAAAAAGAAAATTGTTTTTTTTTCTGCTCAACTTGAGACACTCTCTATACTATGTTTTATCTAAATAGCGATTGAACCATTGGTGAATTGCTTTCTTCAGGGTTTTCGTTCATTAACCTGTTGAAAATAGAAGGCAAATAGAAAAAATAAAACAAGACAAATGAACATTACTTTATTTGCCAACATCTTTGTCTTTTATCAATCTACCACTAATAATAATTTTTCTTTATTTTAATTAAAAATTTATAAAAAGAAAAAATTATTTAGCTTTAATCAATTTTTTATTTTCTTTAGGCGGATGTATTTGGTTCAGTATATGTTCCACTATCATGTCGATTAATTGAAGAAGCTTTGTTAAATCCAGCAAAATTATCAACACTTCAACATGAACTTCTTCAACGTGGTTATCCAGGTGCTGATGATCTTTATTCACATCGTTCATCTGGAGTATCAACACGTGCACAATTTCATGAAGTTCAACAAGCTATTCTCGTCGTTTTTATTGGTGGTTGTACACAATCAGAAATTAACGCCCTTCGTATGTTAGCTATGAGTAAATGTAATATAAAATGGCAATTTTATTTTGCACCAACAAATATATGGACACATACAAGATTATTAAAAGAAATTGAAGCATCACAATAATTAAAGAACTATTCCATTTTAAGAACATTTCCGATCTTCTTTTTATTTTTTTCACTTCATTTTAGCAATACTCACATACGAATATATGCATATTGAATTTTTTTGTCGTTCGTAGGTTGAGCTTAAAAGAGTTTTCGTTTATGAGTTTAATTTTTTATACAATCTTTTCTCAATCATTCGTCGGTTCATTCTTCTCTTTTTTTTAAGTATTAAAATAAAATCGAGAGTAATTAAATGAAATGATCTTCACTGACCTCTGCCGATTTGTTTTATCCTCCATTAAGAATTATACATTTAAAATTTAACCGTTAAGTTATATAAATTAATGTGAAAAACGGCACAAATCGAATAAACATAAAATGAGTCGTTCTAATAATCGTATATCGGAGTATCTTCTGGCTTTAGCAGAACGTGAAGGAGCATCATTGTTTCCTTCTGGTTTACTTATGTATGATTTACCATCGTCACGTCGAACAGCATCTCGAGCATTGAATAATGTTGACTTAATTGATCGACAATCATTATCATCATCATCACGAAAACGATCACCATGTCCGGTTCCTACCGTAGGTTATATAGAAAAAAAAAAAGCAAACGATGACTTTTAAGGCTAATATGTTGTAAAGTTTTTTTAGACTAGCGAAGATCTAGCATCTGACCAAAATATTAGCGGAAAGGTACTCCGAAAGTTGAGGATTAGTGTCATGTATGGATACGACTTTTTGTGATCGGACATGAGCCTGAGCTAATCAACAACTGGCAGGTACTTTCAGAGTCATAGTACGACTTTCAAACTTTTACTTTATACGCAAATGTGTACTGAATTATTTAGTTTCTTCCATAAACAGCAATAGAATGAAGAGATCATTTCAAATTCCATAGAAAAACAAGTGAATCAGAATTAACTTGGTGTCTTTTTGCTTCTAACACCTGATCAATTTCGCTAAATAAACATTTGCTTGTTGCTGATGATGCTAGAGTTGAACCCATTGTTGTTGCTAAGCGTTATGATTACGGATATATACATGAATGCTTTTGCCAGTACGATAATACATGTTCGCTTTGTCATAATTCATTTTCCTCTTCGCTTATTCAATTACTTCATCATCATTTGTAGATGAATTTTCATTAAAAATAAACTCTTTTTGTAGAACAATATCACTAACCTGTTCTCGAGTACAATGAACTATTCAGATTTTCATTCGTATGTTTTTATATAAATTAGTAGTTTGAAAAAAGAAACATATTTTGAAAGCTTCAGATCTCAACAATTGCCTGGTATGATCTTATATCTAAATCACAACCGAACTCGATTGCAAGACACTATTGAGGACATTCATTCGTTACTATCATTTACATTTCATCTAATCGTATCCAAGGTTCTTATAAGCCTATTCTAAATCTAAAAAAAAACAACCAACTAACGAGGGAACTTCTTCAGATGCCCCCTTTCAATTTCAATGACTTGTGGCCTGTAGATGCCATATAGTGTTCGAATGAAAATCCCAAAAGAATTGAGTTCATATTCGGATTTGACTAAGTTATCGAAGTTTTTGCCTAGAGGCGCCGAGTTTTTGAAAAACTCGTACTTTGAAATTTGGATCTGAAAAGTTATGCATAAGTGGAACTTAACTGGACTATGTTGTATAAAAAAAATCAAAAGTTTTGTTTAAGATAGTCGATTTGAGTTCCCTATACGTGTAACATGACAGATGAGAATTCGAATATATAAGTTTTTTCGAAAAGCTGGAATCTTTAGAAATATGTTCGATAGCTTAGTCCAATATCAATAGGAACCCATATGCTTTTGGAGTTTTTATTAGAACACAATGTAGTATTTATAAGCAAAAAGTCATTGAAATTTCAAAGGAACATTTGGAAAACTTTCCTCATCATTGATTGTATAGTATAGAGGTAGTATATACGTAATTTTTTTTTCTAACATATTTAGTCTTCATCTTCTCCTTCATCAATAGTCGATGGCGATTTATCAGTCGATGGTGATTTATCAGTTGATGATGAACCAAATCAGAAAAATTTAACAACATCAGAAGATTGGTGGCGTCAAGGTTTTTTCTGCTTTGTTAAGTCAATTTTTTCTATTCAATGTTATTTGTCTTTTAGCCATTGAACCAATACCAGCAAAAACAATTTCGGTATCTCATTCAGCATTTAGTATGAATGATGAGAATACGTCAAATGATACAAATCCATTATTTTCTTTATTACCATCATTTAGTTCAACTCAAAAAATAATTGTACATAATCAAGCATTAACGACTTTAACACAAATCTATTCTAATAAAACACTTGACTATGTTAAACAATGGTATGAACGTCATTCAATACCGACTTTAAATGTTTTAATAAAACGTGGCTTATTAAAAATTTATAAAGAAAAATCAATTCGAATGACAATTAATAATGTAAATAATATTTATTTATGTAATTCTTAATGATTGTTTCTTTTTTGTTATTTAAAGAAAAAAGACATCTTTGGACAATTAGATAAAAATGGTAAAATTATATCAACATTTGATAATCGATTATTTGATTCTGTTGAACATTTTTATCAAACATATCAACCACGTCGTAAAAGAAATGACAATTTAACAATTATTTATGAATCTGTGCATTGGTATGATAAATCATTTCATACAATATTACTTGAATATGCTGAAACAATGTAAGCTAATATAATTTTTTTTTTCTTCTAATATCTTTTGTTTTTTAAATAAAATTTAGTGTAAAAATTTCTGGTATGAAAACTCGATTAATAACTGATGATGAACTTATATCAAATAACACCTCAATTGATATATTACCAAAGGAAATTCTTTGTCAAATTAATTGTTGGAATGAAGGTCGAAATGAAATCGATCTATAATGAATTTCTTCTATTGATTTATGGTTTCAAATAGCTTTCTTTTTTGTTTTTTTTATTAATAATGAAATCTTGAAAAAAAAGAAAAGAAAAAAGAACAACAAATTGATTTGCTTTGTCTTCTCATTGATTGACATATCAATTTACAATAAGCTTTTTTTTCATGAAAGATCGGATAAAAATATTGAATTCAAATATTGATATAAAAAACAAAAGCTTTTGTGACGTTATAACATAACCTTCATTTTTCTAGAATTTTCACACTTATTTGATACAAATTGAGATTGCAATTTTTGACGATGAAATTCTTTTCTCTCGTTTTTCTTTCTTTATGTAGGTGTTTTCAAATTACTATTCGTATCTTTTCTTATTTCTGGTATACGTCAGAGAATACTTTAATTATCTATTTCGTTGCTATCAACAAAGTTATACACGTAGAAACATAAAACAAGTAGGTAGCTTCAAACGAGAAAAGAAGAGTCGTATGATTCTGGTTACTCAGCGACGCGTATGGGATTGTAACTGTTATTGAAAAAGGAAAAGAAGTCTGGTAACGACGACGTCAACATATTTTAGTAGACACATATCCAAAGAATGAATGATAGACGACGAAGAAAAAAAAAAGGAAAGTTCGCCTATTTTCTTTTTACCGTAAACGAGAGATAATGACGCTGCTTATGATAAAGAACAGAGTGAAAAAAAATCAAGAAAAAACTCTTATTTTCAACTCAGAAAACTCTTTTGACTACGATTATCAACGTTGTTATATTCCTTTAGTATTGGATCACGGTATTTCTATGTAATGTATAGAACGTTAAGTAAACTAGGTTAGTTAAATTAAATGGATTCAATAGTAACTTGTATTAATAAGTATAAGTATAAGTAATATAAATTATATAATTAAATGTATGAATATTTATATACCATGAAATTACAACTTTTCTTCTTTTTTTTTTTTTTAATAAGAGTCTTGGTTTTTCAAGCTGATAAGTGAAATTGAAAAGTAATGCTAAGTTATTATTATTTTCTTTCTATTTATGAAGCATAAAAATCACTTTTTAAATTACCAAGAGCATAATCGACATTTATTTCAATGAAAGAAAATAGGCATTTAATGAAGAATTAAACATAGTTTTTTTGTGAAACACGATTTAAAGTGAATGCTTGAAGTATATAGAGTAGAAAATAGCACCATTCCCTACAAACTGTGAAGTGCATTTTGGCAATGCTTTTCTTAAAGATGTAAATAACGTCTCTATCGTGTTTTACATTTCAACCCCATAGAAATTGCACTAATAGCTGTTTTTCATTACATTGTAAAAGTCTCTATAATAAATAGAAAATAGTTTATTGAGCATGAACAAAAGTACTGAAAGGTATTTTTGATGCAATAAATAGCGATTGTTGATTTAATATTGATTGTCGTTGTTTTATTGATAGTTTTTCTTGTAGAATGTTATTCATCGATTGATCAAGTTTTACACCAAGTAAAAATGCAATTTTTTCTATACTATGTAGAACACGATCGAGATTAATATTATCAGCAATTAAATGTGATTGAAATAATGGAATAGTGCCTTGAATAGTTGAATAATAAGATGGATCAATATAAATATGACAAAGAAATTTTTGACGTTCTTCTTTAGTCATAGAAACTATCAAATCAATAATTGAATGAAATATATGAATATGATCATGATTAATGATTAATTCATGTAATTGTTCGATTGTCATATTTGAAAGATTTTTATTGAGTTTAGTTGTTCGAATAAAATCAATAAGAGATTGACGATTATTCCAATCGAGTAAAACATATTGTTTTTTATTATGTATTGATTTTGTTCGTTCATTGGATGAAAAATTGATTGAACTTGAGTCATTCTGAATATGTTGTTCACGAAGAAAATTTATTGAAGAACTTTTTGATATTTTATCTATAAATAATTATTAGAAAATTCTATTTATCGAATATTTTATTAAGAAATACCTGTTGAATATGATTTATTTTTTATATTAATTGAACATTGACGTAATTCATTTGGACATGAGCACTCAGTTAAATTGAAATTATATTCCGAACAATATTTAAAATTGAAACTAGGTTTGTTAAATTTATCGATTTTTGGTTTAAGATTATTAGATTCAGCGTTTGATATGATCGAAATATGTTTATTAAAATATTGTTTAGATGTATAAGTCATATTATATGGTATTTGGTATTTTTTTCGAATAAGTTGTTGTTCTTTTTGCCATCGATAGTAAATTTCACGTAAAGACTTATAATTACTATGTGTCATGTGTATGAGTGTGTTTGACTATCTGGATAATTAGATAACAGTCAATAGTCAATGCTTGTTTCTTTTCAGTATTGTAAATTAAAGAAAATAATTTAAATTAATGGAATCGAATCAAATACAAACTTATCAAATAACTCAAGAAGAACAACTTAATGATAATGGTTAATAAATTTTTTTTTTTGATCATTTTGTTTTTATTCATTTTTTTTTGTAATAGAAAAAGTAGTACTCCGAACTCTAGTTGGTGATCCAAATCGGCATAAACCATTAGTACACCATCCACCACCGACTACAAAAAAGTCGCAAGATGAAATACCAGCATCAATGTATACACTTGAAACTCGACAACGACCAATTCCATCGAAAGTATTGCCAAAACCAACGGAAGCCACATTGTATTACATTGATTCTAAACAATCTTCGATGCATAGTGTTTCATTGTCGAAAGAAGGTATATCATTATTCCTTTTAAGTTAGACAGAAACAAAAGAATGATTTGTTTTTTTTTAATAATAGAACGAGACACACCGCAACCTTCTGAACCAGAAGCATTGAGAATGGTAGAAGAAGAACAAGAATCTCAACCAACTGTTTTTCTTGAACCTAAAATTATTTCACAACCTGTTCTTTACAGTGTTGTTGCAACGAAAACTCCTTCAGCCCAAAATGATCAATCAATTTCAACTAATCAACATATCGATGCACCTGTATTCTATACAATAACTGGTAAATCGAATCTTCCAACTCTAGACATGAGTGCAACTAATTTAAATGCTGAAACACTTGTTGTTGATCAATCATCTAATTTATATTCATTGGTTGGCAATCCACGTATTCCAGTACAATCTCAAGAACCAATACCAAACACTTCACAACAGCTACCACCAAATCTTTATTCAATTGTTGGTAGTCCAACGCTTTCAGCAAACATGTTACAAGCACATACAGTTGATCCAACGCCTTCGACTCAACCAATAAAAACTAATTCTGTTCAACAAGCACCAATTTTATATACAGTGGTTGATGAAAAAAAAATACCTACTAATATACCCAAGGAAAATCGTCCACCACCACCACCAGCAGTACCTATTAAAAAACAATCAAATGATGCTACTTTGTATACAGTAATTGGAGATCCTAGTATGCCTCAATCAATGACACCTACTCACAAAACTCAACCAATAAAACCACAAGCATTATCACAACAAATTCAAATACCTACATTGTACGCATTAATTGGCAAACCAAAATCACCATCAATAGAAAAAATGAATAGTCAATCGAAGTAATTATATATCATATTTAATTTAACAATTATTTATTTTCTTTTGTTTTATGCAGACCATCTGTATCAAACAAAACAACACCATCAACTGAAATTCGTACTAAACGAACTAATTACAGTCTTGAACGTCAAACAGCACAAGATGCAGTAATCGAGGAAATTACTGCTATTTCGGATACAAAACATAAACGTCACACGAAATCACAAGGTTTTTTCAAACATCAAACTAGCTTTCAAATAATAATATTTTCTTTTTTGATTTAGAATTAACAATACCAAAATCCGAAACCGTATTCATTCCTTTGCCCGAACGTGAACATGTATCACGTTCGAAACAACTTCGAACAACTCCTCGAAATATAAGTCCTGGACAAATACATCGCAAATTGTGTACAATTCCACGTTACGATCCGCTTCATGCATCTGATTACATTTCACCATATGCTTATCATCCATCAAAGCCATATCGTGAACGAAAATATAATCCAAAATTATTACCTATGATAACAAATAATTCTTCTGAACGTAAAACAAGACCATTACTTTATGAACCTCGTCATCGAGTCGAACGAAAACATCCATATGATCCATGGACACCTCATTCTTTAGTAAATATTTTGTTTTGTTTTTTTTTATTATATATTTTGTAATTTTTTTTCTACGCATAGGAGAGATATTCTACTAATACGAAGCAACCCTCTCGTGTGTGGGATTTTGAAGAACGTGCTCAAACCGATGGTGATGATGATGTAAATGAATCAACATCAAATAGACGAAAAGAAACTTATCGAAGATTTCGACCACGTACACCATGGATACCTGTTTGGTGAACAAATGAACTTTTCTTTGCTTGTATATGTTTTGTATAATTATTTCATTAAAATAAAAAAAAAAAAAATAAAACTCTCATAATTAATATTTTACTTTTTTATTAATAATAAAGTCTTATTTCATTTATGTCTAATAAGTTTCTGTTATTTTTCTAAGAATATGAAGGTTCTTCGATGAATTTGTAAATTTAAGTTCTGCTGATAAATTTTTTGAATTCTAGAAGAAAAAAAAATATATAAAAAGAAGTATGTATCGTATTTGTTTTTACCTTCAAAATTAATTCTTCCATCATGATCAACATCAAGACGTTTCATTAAACCTTGAATTTCTTGTTCAGCAACTTGTTGTGGTACACCAAGCATTTCTTGCATTGGTAAATAATAGTGTCTTAATTCTTCAACTGTAATTGATTTATCATTGTTTTTATCCATTCTTTTGAATTCTTTTTCAAGTTGTTCGTCAGAAATCGTAGGCATTATGCAATAATGAATACTAATGTGTTTATATGGTTTATTTCAAGATAAATAAATCCACTAAGATAAAGGTAGTATATTTATATGAATAACTTGTTGTTATTAATCATGCTTGACTGATTTTGTTTTCCTTGTTTATAATCTATTTTTCTATTTAGCATTGATACATCGAAAAAAAAAGGTCATTATTTTCATTTCGGATTACTCATGACGCACTTGACTGATTTTCTTTTTTTTTTAGTGTCGATGAATAATAAGAGAAAATAAAATGTTTTTTACCATCACGATCAATAACGATAATATTACTAAAGAAACAGTGACTTATTTCAAATATATAAGAAAATAAATCATAGGATAAGCGTCAGCTTGTTTTGACACTACTTAGATTACGATGAAAATGTTTGTATAGATTTAAATAGAAAAAAAACGTAAGCAAAATGAAGAAAATTTAAAAAGAAAATAAAACTTCGGATGTTTTTTTTTCATCAATGTCAAATTCAGAATATTGAAATAGTAAATAAATAAAAATAGAAATTAGCAGATTCATGCAGAGCCGTATTCAAGTATGTGTTTTACCTGTCAAAATCATAGAAGAAGCATTATAACTGCGTAAATTATATGTCTATGAAGGGTGTTATTAAGTTGAAAAGATTAATTCAGATTTATTAGTAAAAAAAATCCAACAAAAATTTTTAAACAGATTCGATCACGGGTTTCTTTCAATCTTTGTGATATGTTCGCTTTGAGAAATGATTCAGATGACTTTATGTTCTTTAAATATGAAACAATTAACTATGTTTAAATTTTATGTAAAAACAAATATTTGGTCAAAATTATTCAACCAGTAGGCTATTTTATTTTAGCTAATATATATCTGAAAAACTACAATGATCTAGTTTTATAATCCGTAGTCTCTAGTTCACTCATAAAACAATTCACATCATTTCATTGATGTGTTTTCTTTTTATTGATGATTAAATCGTAATATGCTGTTTTTCATCCTTCTAAAATTATCTAACTACTTATTTTTGCAAATTATTGCGTATCTGTTCGAAGTTGAAATTTTCTTTATGATCCATCATTCAGTAGAACAAATTGTTCTCTGTATAAGGAACATTTTTTATTAAATTATATGTTAAAAAATATTGTCTCTTTGACCTTTACCGGAAATTTTGAATAAAAAGGCAACAAAATACTAATTTTTTTCATATGATATTTAACCACTTTTAACCTCTAAAACATACTTACATGCATTATTCTATTTGAATAGATATTTCATATTGAAAATTTGTATTATTCGTTTACTATTTGTACATCAATATCAGGTAGGCATTCTTGTACATTCTCATTCTCGCATTGAAGGGGTTATGAAAAAATTGTTTTAAAACATGGATTTCTAGGAAATCTTTCTTCATACATCTTTCGTTGCCCCATAAATAGCTGAAATAAAAATTTTACCGCAGTCTCAGCAACAGCTTAAATAGTACGGGGTGCAAACAAACTGATCCCTCGAGATTAAAATGTAATTTAATATTTGTTTAAAATTATGAAAGAATTAAATTATACATCAACAGTAGCAGTAGTGAATGTACAATATATACAATATATACAAAAACAGTTTTACACAATGTTTAAATTAAAAAATTTATATCAAACAATAATTGTTATTTTCCGCCTATGTGGACCTGTTTCTTTATCCTATATTTACAAATTTAATTTTAAGAAAGAACCATCAGACCACTGACAAAGTATGTGTGCGAAAAATTTTAATTGTGAAATAAGTTATACCATTCGAAAGTCCATAATCAGTTATCCTCAAACCCAAATTTTTAGTTTTTCCTAAAGACTCTATCAAGAGGTATGAAGGGATCCTTGAATTCACCTCTAAGTACTATTTATTAAATTTTCAAAAATTTTGATGAATTTTAGAGAATTCTATTTAATACTTTATGGCGACATGTATTTTCATTAAAAATTCCTCTTTTTTAGTCTTAATTAGCATATCTTGATTAGATCCGTTAAACGCACCATGAAAGAACAAGATTCTCAAATATAAATCGTCTCTAAAAAGTCTCTAATGTGTTATATTAAACTCAAAAAATAGGTAAAAATGATCATTTTTTATGAACATTTTTTATATTTTTGCTCTGAAAATGTAGCATAGCAATTCTCTCTCAAAAATCTTTTAGTATCAGGAGAGCGCCCGTCAAAAACTACATCTTTCTATATATAACTTAATAAAATGATATGTGGGAAGGTTATTTAATTTTTCATCGTAAAGAAGATCGCTACCATGCGAAATAGGTCCACATAGGCAGAAGATAACTACTATTTTTTGATTTGAATTTTTTAATTTAAGATTGTGTAAAACTGTTTTTGTATACATTGTATATATTGTACATTCACTATTGCTACTGTTAATGTATAATTTAATTCTTTCATATTTATAAACAAATATTAAGTTACATTTTAATCTCGAAGAATCAGTTTTTTTTGCACTCCGTACTGCAGATCTCATTAAATACATAGCTAACTAATTTTTCTGTGTCAAGTATATGTAGATCGAGTATACAATTTAGAGTAACGAGGTATTTTAAATTGTATTTGGCATATTTTTGTTTGATAAGATTCATATAAAGTCTATCACTGAAACCATAGTAAACTCTTTTTATTTCTGTTGTATATTACGTATCAAAAGTTCTACGAAAAAGGATTCCCTACAAATCTACATGTTTAAAATAATTTTTCATAACTGCTTCATTGTGAAAATTAGATCTTACAAGAAGGTCAATCTGGTACTAGCGTATACATAGAAAACTAAAAACACAATTTTCTTACATGAAACATCTATTGAAATGAAATCTCTGATGCAATTGATAGTACTCTTACTAATGATACATTGAACAATCAAATTGGTTAGATATTGTTTAGAAAAAAGTGTCTTCTGTTGTCTTTCTATTCAAAATTTCCGATATAGGTGAACAAGACAATGTCTTTTTTTTACCCATATTCAAATAAAAAGTGTTCCTCATGTAGCGAGTGATTCATTCTACTGAATAATGCATCATTAAGGAAGTTTCAATTTTGAATAGGCACGCAATAGTTTGAAGAACTAAGTAGTTGCATAATGTTGAAAGTATGAAAAAGGCATGTTGCGATAGTATCATCAATAAAAAGTAAACAAATTAATGCAATGAGCTGAATGTTTTATTAGTGAACTTGGAACTATGGGCTGTAAAAACAGAAGATTCTAGTTTTTGAGGTGTGCACAAAATAAAATAAAATCTACTGACTGAATCAAAATATTTATCTAGGATATAAAATCGAACCAACTCCATCTAATTTCCAACGTCTATTAAGTGAATCATTTGATGTGCATGGTTTACAAACATGACTCGATGAATATTTTATATAATACCACTTCAATCTATAAATACTACTAGTGTTATTACTATACCTATCATTTTTCTCATGAACATACTCATCGTTGCGATAGTAAATTCAACTAGAAGAAGATTGATAGATAATATCAATAGATCTGAAATATTTATTTGAAAGTATAATGTTTAATCTAATCTAATTTTTATATGATTTAAAAGATAATGACAAATAATATCATTATTTTGCATGCTAATCCTTAATTTTAGTCACCATTCGTGAATATTTTATATTTCATCCTTGGAAAATGCAAGTAGAGCATATCACATCGAGCTATTCAAAAAGCACACAAAATAATTCGAACTTCTAAAACATGAAGCAAAACCTTTTGAATGAGAAAAAAATATTTTTAATAACATTCAGTCAAATAAAGTTTCATTTGAATTAAATTATACATTCAAAAAATTATTTCCTTTTGACAATGTTTTTTGATATTTCTCATTTAGATTATTCGAAAACATTTAAAAATCTACATGGTTTATTTTAAAATAATTTTTCTTCGATGTGAAATTCTTTAAGTATGAATAAGTGATTTAATCTGAATTAAAAAAAACAACAGAACTACTAATTCATTTCAAAACAACTACGAGTCTCTATATTGTTCCTATCAAAAAACTGGTGATGCACATTATATTTTGAAATGGATAGTAGACATTTTGTTTAGACTAGGAATCGACGGTTTTTATTTTGACAAAAAACATTGACTTTATCCATCTCTTGTTCGGATATGAAGATATGATTAACAAATGTGTTTTATTTACATTAGATGAAGAAAAAATATATTACAAAACAACAGGTTGCTTTTGTAAATGACAATGTTCTTCTAAATATTTTACAATACGTTCACAATCAATTCCTTCACGTTGTACATAAAAATACCCATTTTGTGATAAATCAACAATAGTTGATCCACGTCGATCATTTGATGCTAATACACCACCATCAATAACTAAATCGACTTGTGACCATAATGATTTAAATTCTTCAATAAAAACTGAACTTGGTTCATTAGAAATATTAGCACTAGTCAATGCAATTGGTTCATTTAAACGTTGTGCTAATTCAATCATAAATTGACAATTTGGTATGCGAATAGCTACATTAGTTACATTTGGATTGAAATACGATGGTAATGATGATTGTCGTTCAAACATAAGTGTTACTGGGCCAGGAAGAAGATCACCAGTAGCCAATTGTTCTTTAGCTAAAGTTGGTTTTGACCATGTAAATATATCATCAACATTACCAACGGCCATTGCTAATGGTTTAGTAAATGATCGACCTTTAATTTCATAGATTCTTCGAACAGCTTGTTCACTATTAACTAATGCAGCAAGACCATAAATTGTATCTGTTGGTACAGCAATAACACCATTATTTTTTAAAATTGAAATACATCGATCTATTAGATTATCTTCATTTACTGATACTACATTATTAGTTGACATGATTCTTGTTTGAATGAAAGAAATATGTATAGAATATATAACTGATAATATCGAAGACAATTTATATCAATC